GGATTAACATCGGAATTTTAGTTGAAGAACCGAGTAAGTGAGAGAAGGAAGTCATGGTATTCATGTTGAAGTTCGCCATTGATGAACACGAGAAATTTTTAGAAAGCTTGAAAAACTTGATGTATTTGTGAATTGATCAAACGAATTGATCACAGATTGCTAATCGATCACTCGACTAAACAATTCAAATGCAGAATTGATTCAAATCTGAAGATCAAGAATGATTTTCAAAACCAAAATGCACGGAAAATTTTGAGTAAAGTTACTACTCAAAAAGCAAATGATTCTAAAATGAGCCTCAAAGGTGACACATGTTGAAACGAACTTCAATCTTCAATTCTTCCACGATTCTTCAATTTGGGCTCTAAGATGTGAGACCATACAATTCAAGCAGCAACAAATGATTAACTCCAAATAATCACCCAAAAGTTGCGCATAAAAACACACGCCAAAAATCTTCAATAAAACCAAACCCATTTCAAATACATCAGTTCTGAACTTCCAATTGCATCATCTCGTAGGCTTCAAAACTTCAAGATCACTTCGGTCTTCAAAACCGCGTAATATGAAAAATTCAAATTCGAATTTCCATATAAAACTTCTCCCCCTTTTTATAATCGAAATTTGATTATAAAACTCCAAGGAAAAAGAACGTGCTCTATTCGGAATTTTTCATGTAAAAACTCCCCCTTAACATGTGGCATAAACTTTGTGCTTCAATATGGAAAATCCAAAAAATAATCAATTTTTAGCTTCGTTCACAGATTGCCTTTGACAAAATTTCTCAAAAATGGGTAGAAATTGTGAATTTCAAAATTCTGCAGTGACCCGTTGCGCCAAAAACAGCCAAATATGTGAAGCACACTCCCATTTGCGAAACTGGGTAAAATGTGTAAATTTGCACAAACTGCAGGGACCAGATTCGAAAATATTCTCATTTCTCAAAATTTTTACCCCAAATGCGAAACTGGGTAAAATTTATCATCTTGCGAAAAATGCAGGGATGCGAAATGGAAATTCTGCATTTTTGTCATTTTATAACCCCATTTACGAAGTTGGACCAATTGTGTCATTTCATGAAAACATCAGGGACCCAATTCGAAAATATTTGTTTTCTTCTTCATTGAACGAGTTATAACAGGAACACTTCGCATATTCACATTCACTCAAATTCTTCGCATCGTAATCTTCGCAAATCACTTGCAAAACAGATGTGAATGAACAACTTTCACATATACGAACTCAATCATCAATCTTAGATGCGAATGAAACACTTTTATACCAACCCAATCATCAAATGCGAACATCATTGACCTTATATGCGAACAACTTTTGACTCCAAAATTGAACAAAGCACATTCTTAGATGCGAACCCGATTTTGATCTCTGTAACCAAATGCGAAGTGAGTTTAACCATCAACCACACAATTGTCTTCATTCGGATTTCATTCACAATTCAAGGTTCGTTCATCAACACAAACCTTCAATTCCAAACCCAATCAACAACATAGAAGCAAAGCCTTCGTATTTTTAACCCCAATCCATACAATCTCATATGCGAAATTGATATTGACCCACAAAACCAAAACACGATTGTGACCACAAATGCGAAATCACTTTATTCACATATCAAACTGGTTTGGAGCGTTCGACATCAAATTAACCAGCACAAATCAAGCTTGCGAACTCACAGAATGAACCGAATCAACTAATCAGACTCAATTTCAACATTAGTTCGAACTGTTCATCATCGTTGTTCATCAACAAACTTTTTCATAGACTTTTTAGAGTCAACGAACAATCAACATGAAATTGATGTTAAAGCAAGATCGATTATATCAGTTTAATCCAAAAATCTGGATTCCAATTAATCACATCAAATCGATTCACGATATCATACTTATGAACAAATCAATTTATCTGAAACATCAAATTGAAATCGGAACTCAAGATCAAGAACAAAATCGATTTTACGATCGACAATATTACACGAAATCGATTCAAACTTCAAAACAATCATTAATCGATTATTTTGAAACTATAGCGAGAAATCGATACTCAAGAATGATGAACAATAGATGAATTGATTGTAATATCAAGATGTACAACTCGGTAAAGCGCGGGATGAAGAATAGACACTGTAAGGGTATCGAAATGATTTAATCAATTCTTGGGCTCCAATGAAATCAAATCACGGAAAATATAGGGACTCAAATTATGAATCAACAGGATGGGCTTAAACACCAATTCACATGAACAGTAACACGAATTTTTATTGGGCTCAAATGTGATCAGTGAAGATTCGAAATTTAGATCATAAAATGAATTTTGGGCTTAAATCTCAATTCAAAGGAACACTTGCATATTGAAAATCGAATCGGACAAACGAATAGGATTGGATCGGGACTTGATCAACAAAAAAATATTGGATCACAACAAATGGGTTTTTCAAAAAACATTTGATCCAAAGAGTCAAATGATCACAAATCCAAAACGTTACGCACGATTTCAACGAAATTAAGAGAGATCATAGAGAGAGACTCACCAAAATTGTTCAAATTGCGACAAAAGTTGCCAAACCAAGAATCGTTCTTCAAAAGTCACGTTGATCGTCAACACCAAGCTCTGATACCAATCGTAGAGAATTGTTATCGAGATTTAGAAAGCAATCATGATTGAATGAACGAAAAGTATGAACACCGAGAGTAAATATTAATCAGATCTTATATTGATAAAGAACTGATTACAAAATAAGCAGAATGAATACTCGTGACAAGCATATTCTACTTCTAACCTCAGTCCCTATTTATAGGCAACCTGAGTGAACAAAAAATATACTAAGTCTAGAGCAATACACTTCGCACAAAATGTGACTTAGTAAAATAACTAACATGCGAAACTAAAGAAACAAACACTTTGAATTTTACAACACATAGACTCTACAATACCCTATCATATATTAAGGATAACTCACCTCGCAGATGTCGACTCGGAAGGTAAACTCCAACTCTCGGATCACTCGACACCGACCCACCACCTATAACCAGACTTCAATATACGCATAAGTCTTTAACATTATAAGGTACTCCTTAACCCAATAGTCAACCCCTGATCAAGGTCAAAGTCCTCAGTCAAGGTCAACAGTCCATGTTGACCTCAACTCGCCGAGTCATCGAGGTGACTTGTCGAGTTCCTTCGAATCCCGATCAGACCTTAAGGCCACCCGTCGAGATCCCTCCCTGCGACTCGACATATATACTTACGAACATTAATCTTGGTTAAAACTCATCCGACTCGCCGAGTTGTTCTTCAACTCGTCGAGTCTCATGACAATCTTCATCAGACTCGCCGAGTTGTTCAACCAACTCGTCGAGTTCAATGGCCATGTTCATGCGACTCGTCGAGTCGACCCTGCGACTCACCGAGTCCATTCAATCCTCTTTCCATACAGATCCATTTTGAGCCATGCAGCGGCTCCAAATCACTGATCCAAGTTTCTAGGGCATGCTTATCACGTAAAGTTGCAAACTTTACGTGCATACATGGCTTTAAAGGCTCAAAATGGCAAATCTAAGCTATTGATGGGTCTTTATACACAAAGGGGACCTCAATCACGACTAAATTTTCAACTTTATGCTTCTAGAATCCAAAGAGAGTCCAGATCTGAAGTTACAACTTCAGATCTAGTCCATAAATCATCATACCAACTTGATATTCCATGAAAACCCTAAAACTCACCCAATAAGGGAGATCTATAGGGAGAATGACGGATTGGGTACCTTTTGAAGTTGATATCTGAGATGAGTGTTGATTCCCACTCCAATTGCTTCAATCTCCTCCTCCAAGTCTTCTCCCTCCAAGAACTCTCTTTCAATCTTCAAACACACACACAAGGCACACACACACGAATAAGGCTCTCAAGGGTTCTTTGGAACTGTAAGGAGGTCCAAGGGAGGCTAAGGTCCCTTTAAATAGGGGTGCAAACCCTAGGAATTAGGGTTTCACTTGCCAGCTCCTACTCGTCGAGTCCCATTATGGACTCTTCGAGTAGGTCACTTAACCCGCGATCCTTCTCACTGCTACTCGACGAGTAGGTAAACCAAATCGTCGAGTAGGGCCTAATCCAAAAACTCATATTAATAGTACCTGAGAATCGGGGCGTTACAAAAAAAGTAAAAGATTCCCCTGGGATAGTAGTGGCGAGATCGAACTCCATTTGTGTGGATGAAATGTCCATCTTGAAAATGGACCTCTTGTAAATAGGAACTTGGATCTTGAAACACACGAGATATGTAATATGCCAACAAACATGGAATCCAAACTTCAATATTCAATAAAGGTGGTGCAAATCTCCAAAACATGAAGAACAATGTGGGAAAGCATACGCCACATTGTAGGATAGAGGAAACAAGCAATAAGTGTCGTCATGATTACTCCAAAAAGAATGGTGGTGACCCATGTAGTAAATATGAATGAGAAAGCTTCATTTTGTGAAAAGATATGCCTCACAACGTGAGTCATGGAAATCATGACATGAGATCGCGAAAACATGATTCTGAAACCTGTTGTAACCGAGTTCACGACGTAATCATAAAAGCCTCATGCCGTGAAAACTGGGAGAACAAAAACTGCAACTGCCCATTCTTCTTCTTTATTAATTATGGCTATGCACCCCAATATCTTAATGGATTAAGACTCTTCTAAATGCAAAATTTTAGTGATCCTTCTCTAACTCTATCCTCTCTCTTGACTCACCCCACACTTATTTCTAATTGTGGGTCTCGACTCTCGACTCTAAACGACACTTGGCTAGACGCATACGCTCTCATCTTGACTTTCCTTTCCCTTGACTCCTTTAGCAAATCTGGAATATGAGAACCAAAAGAAATAGAAAAGTAACATAATAACTTAAGTTGTCTTACAAACCATCCAAAATTTAAAAAAAAAATAACAAATCCAAACCAAACTAAATTTAACTAAAAATAAAAATAAAAAAATGATCAATCATCTTCTTCGTCTTCATTGGCTCCACTCATTCCCGCTACATCTCCTTGATTGCTATACCCACTCCACCTAGGGAAAATTGGGTAATGATACCCCAAATGAGGAGGTTGCTCATCATGCAAGTGCTGCACCAAATTTTTCACCATCCCACCAATCCAATTCACACTTAACGCCAACTGATCATAATAACCCGACATGTCTCCCCCAAAGTTGGGTCCTCCCATGGGTGCATTTTGGTGCACCGGTTGTCCTCTGTCACCCCTACCTCTCACATTCCTCCGCCCTCTAGGCCTCAGTTTGGGTGCGGGTTGGTCTTGATGTACCACATCATCATCCATCGGGATACTCCAATGTGATCCCTCATTCGTTACCACACGTATAGACTCCAAATATCCTATAGTGAGTTCATCACTGGGCTTGCATGTCAATGTCCGGGTCAAAGGTGGAATAAGAAGACCATAGGATCTTGCAAGGCACGTAACAAAATGACCCCCATTAATGGGGCTACCAGCTCTAGAAATAGCAGCCTTGCTGCCCAAATAGCTCGCCAGATGATACAGGATGTTGCAGAAAACCCTCGGTGTAACAATACTCCAAAGCAAGAATAAGTTAAGGTTGTGACCTTATCCCCATGTTGCTTGTGATTGATTGAAAACCCAATCAAACGATGAAGTAATCTGTGGATCAGGGATCTAATTTGACTCTCCTATGAGACCCCCGAGTGAAATACCCCACTGGCTATCGACACCCAAAAATTTGGTCCCGATGCACCTGAAAAATAATCCCGTGATGTTGTCCTCATGAAAACTCAAAAGCATGCAATTGAGTTTCATGTTGCTCATAAATACCCATTCTCCAGACAAACTCGATCAGGCTGCACTCCCTAAACTCACAACCAAGGCAGAACACGAGTGCCCTCGGATAAAAGGGATCAATTGTGGCAGCTTCAAAAGAGACAGAAGCGAAGAACTCCACAAAAAGCTCCTGATAAACAGGCTCATTGATAGCAAACAAGTTTCTCCACCCGTTACAAGTGAAGGAAAAATGATCCACTGAAAAGTGTTGGATCAAATATGGAGCCATCCTTTCCATTAATCCAATCTCCTCAAATCGTACCGAATCAATCCTTGGAGAAATGGCAAACTCCCTGTTGTGCAGCCATCCTAATTTGTTTGTGAAGTTAGTTAGAACATTGGTCGGCATATCTACTAGAAGGCGGTATAACGAGTGGCGAGATGACACATGGCCTTGAAATTGCTCATTGGCACCTCTTGAAGCCATTTTCTGCAAAAACAAATAGACTAGGAAAAACAAAACAAAAGGCTCCACATGTTAAACAGGTTAGCAGCAAACAGAAATCAAATGCCCAGGTCTCACGTCATGATCAATAAGGCTCTCATCGTGAGTTCGTTGTTAATAGTGAGAATCAGTCATGCCATTTCACAAATCGGGACAAATACTTTGTTGGGGTTTCATTCTAACTTGATTCTAAGTACATTCAACCCACATGTAGTCAAGATTTCACATATTTAGGGCATCGATTTTGACGTTCACATAAACTACAAACCCTAACCCCTAAATCAACCAAATAAGTCAAAATTAAAAACTAAAAGTAAAAGTGGTGTACCTTAACTTGATGTTAACATGAGCACAAGACTAAAATGTAGTTGAATCGGCCGAAATCGAGTATGTGTGGGGGGACCAGGAAGCTGTCGGCGTTTGTGGGATAAGATAATTATAAGATAATGGTAGGTCAAATGGAATCTGATTCCTTTATTTAAGTGGTCCTGATTCATTCTTGCTCACGTCGTGAGCAATAATGCCTCACATCGTGAGTTATATGTGGGCTCAAATAATCAGACTGTTTAATCAAACGGAAATGGGCTACTACACTTATTGGATTATTATGAATGGGCTGAGAGAAAATGATGGGCTAAAAATAAAAGTATGACAGTCCGTATATCAGTCTAGACTCACGTCGTGAGCCATACGTGCTCACGTCGTAAGATCGCTTCTGAATTGAAAAATTAATTTCATTTTATTTAAAAGCCTTTAATGTTTATACCATTAAATTTCAGGAACCCCCACACTCGATTTTTACCATTCAGAGGATTATTAGATGATGAAATGATCAAATTTCCTAAAAACTAAAAATGCAAAAACTAAAAATAAAAGAAAAGAAAATTCAAACCGAGCTCGGATTGCCTCCCGAGAATTGCTTCTTTTTGATGGAGTTGTGAGTCGGACTCTGTGCCTCCCTATGTTGAGCTGTCAAGGCAGTCCATCACCACCTGAACCTTCTAATATTTCCATCACCTCTTGTATTCTTGTACTCGTCGAATGTACGCCTTTTTTAAGTTCTCTTTTTTAGCTTTCACCTCGTCTATATCAAGCTTCCTTTTGATTCCTTTAGTCTCCAATTTTTCTTCACTCTTCTTTAGCTCTATAGGAATCTTTTCTTCTTTTACCACTGGACTTGTCTCCTTTGATGTAACCTCGTCTTCATCACTTGACAAATCATCACCTTCCTCACTCACCAAACATGTTGGAGTTTTATAGGCAATAACCTCAAAAACAAGTGGAACAGATGCTCTTGGTTTGATGCATTTGACTTGATGAATTGTCTTGATTTCTTCCTCCATGAGCTTCTATAATTATTCAAGTTCATTTTCTTCATCAATATTGAATACCTCACCTCGAACATCCTTTCCTTGAAACCATCTTGAACTCCGAATGTTTCCTCTTCATCACCAACTCTCAAAGTAAGCTTGGATTCAAGAACTAATGGGTTTGAGCCATAAGAACTTTCCTATATGCACATGCAAACCCTAATTGCTTGGATCTAGGTTTCTCTAATTGAACATGCATGTATCCAAGACTTTCATTCATAGATCTAGTGTAAACAAACAACTCATAGCATATGAAAAATAGATCTAGAAGAATACCTTGAGTTTCTTGTTTGATACTTGTTCTTCTTGGATCTTAGAGTCATAATTGTCACTCCTCTAATGGCTTACAAACACCAACTAGCAAGAAGATGATTTGAGAGAGAGAGATAGGAGGGTGAGAAATTGGCCCTAGGGTTTCTTGCCTTGCATGAGTGCCGATTTCCCTCACCCTAGGGATCTATTTATACTATGAGATACAGGGTTTCACCTTTAACCCTAATTGAATAACTTAGGCCCTAAGCAATCCAAGATCCTTCTAGATTGTAGGCTTGGATGAATTTAAGGTTCCTAAACCCTAAATTTCGTCCACCCCATTATCTATAAGGATACATAGCCCAAAAACACAACTATCACACATTTGACAGTTTATGCCCCTTTATTCAATTAACCTCTTTAAGTCACCAAATTAATTCTTAATTAATATATGACTTATATTAATAAAATAACATTATTAATCCTTTAATATATTATTCTTATAATATATATTAACAATAATATTTCTTCTCTCTTAACAAATCATCCTGTTAAGTTGCTATGGTGAAGGCAACCCAAAAGGACCATGCTTAACCGGGTCAAGTACTTACTAAATATAGTTACAACCTTAGACATTAATCCAACAGTCTCCCACTTGGATAAGTCTAGTAACTATATATGCAAACACAAACCGATTAGCAATCGTAGCTCTCAAAGACGCTGTCAACTCTGATCTTATCAATCTCCTGTCCTTTAGATAAGGGATCGTACAGTCCTCTGTTTAGATATTATGCTGACAATCTTATGGAACTTATTGTCCAGCATTTGGTTTCTCGATCTCAGATTTATTTGACATAGAACTTAATTGAACACATCAATTTAGTCCTGACCGGGCCCGGCACATAAGTCAAATCAAATCATCGAGCGGCCGTGATATCGCTTTTATCCTCTCAGGATGAAAGTAACAGATAAACTTCGACTTATATGCATTTACTATTTACTAATCAACTATACACAACAATGTGTTTTATGACATCAATTTACTGATGCGGTTTCGTATTGTCAATGCACAACCAATTAATAAACAATAAACCATGTATCTTGGTTTTAAGACCATATGATATTATCGTCTTGCGATCACTTGTGTCACATTCCAAAAATGATTCCAGCAAGCGCGGGTTTATTCCAATGCTCAAAACTTGTTCATAAGCACTCATGAACGTTGTAGCAAACCTTTGCTATGTCTAATACTCTTTTAGACAATCTACACACCAATTCATGAAAATCTTCATTCATACCTACTTCCAACATATGAACGATTGTGGACCATTCGAATAATTCAATTATTCTTAATAACTTAATTATTCAGGAAGTCAAAACATGCAAAGTGAAACAATAGTTAAACAATTAACATAAGACAGTACCTTTACTTATAAATAATACTCTTTTATTTAATCATCAAATGTCAATTACATTTATCTATTACATGTTTCAAAACTATCTAATCTAAACTAATATCGTCTTTCAGCCCAATGCTCCTAGCGTGCTGCAAATCCTTAACCCTACTCAATCCCTTCGTAAGAGGATCTGCTGGGTTATCCTTTGACGATACCCTCTTTACTACGAGGTGTCCTTCTTCTACTCGATGTCTAATAAAATGATATTTTCTGTCGATATGTCAAGATCTACCATGATCCCTCGGTTCCTTGGTCAAGGCAACCGCTCCTTCATTATCACAGAAAATTTCCATAGGCTCTTTTATAGCAGGCACAACTCCAAGGTCACCAATGAAGTTCTTCAACCACATCGCCTCCTTTGAAGCTTTGCTTGCTGCAATGTACTCTGATTCGCACGTTGAATCAGCTACTGTCTCTTGTTTGGAACTTTTCCAAGTCACTGCTCCTCCATTAAGGGTAAAGACCCAGCCCGACTGCGAACGGTAGTTGTCCCTGTCGGTCTGGAAGCTGGCGTCACTATACCCTCGCACCTTTAAGTCATCACTCCCTCCGAGGACTAAGCGCCATTCCTTGGTCCTCCGAAGGTACTTAAGTATATTCTTGACTGCAATCCAATGAGCTCTGCCAGGGTTCCCTTGATATCTACTGACCATGCTCAAAGCAAAGGCCATATCAGGGCGAGTACAAGTCATAGCGTACATGTGACATCCCCAATTTCACGGCCAGAAAAGACCGATTTGTTTATGCTTTGTTTTTAAAATCAGAGTAATTGTTTAAAGAAAATTGTTGCGGAATTTGTCCCCAAAACAAAATATGATAAGAATTTATCAAAGCATTTCTTAAAGAAAAGTATTTTCATTATATAACAAAATCTCGGGATGTCATGTTCCGATACAGACACATAAGCATAAACAGAACTTACATTTATTTACACTAATGATTTACATCTCCTTTATTCTCTCAGTGAAATATGTCTTCGTATTGATACCTGTGATACAAAGAAAACTGAGTGGGTCAGGCTTGGGAGCCTGGTGAGCATATAGGGTTTTCAACCCACAATAATACATTTATTAGATTCAATTATCAACAATCAACCCAAATACCCATCCCCATTATCTTCTTTATTTATTAAGCTTTTACCCTAAGAATCGATTATACTTTCTTCATTCATTCCTAAGGATTTACCTAAGGAACTGGCACATAGTCCATTTGCTACCACGGTTTATACAACAGGCACTACGTCGCATAGTTACCA